ATCAATTTCAGGGCTAGGATGAAATACAGTATCTGTCACGACTCTTACCTTCTCTCATACAGTAAATGCCCTGGCATTCCCACTCGTACTAGATTCCACACACGCTCATCCAGGAACTAATTTTCCATCCGCGTCTCAATCAATCAATCAATCAATCAATCAATCAATCAATCTCTCTCTTCAATATATAAACTCTCTTCACCGGCTTACCTATGTATGCTCACTATTGAGAAGTCTTCCACAGCTTTCTCTTGTGTGCTCAGTTATTCTCGACCTGACTCCTTTGACTACCCGACCTGGTTCTTCTAGTTGGATTTGGAATATCGGAGGAGAGAATTCTGATGGAACTTCAGAGTATTACAAAGTGCTTCATGATTTGAGGTGTCAAGGCAAATAATTCTGCTTCTCAACCTTGTTTCTGTAAGTAACTGGCTGTAATATTACAGTATGTTGGTCATGCATCTTCAGGATCTGAGCCCAAATTATAATTCTGAGAGATTCTTTTCAGCAAGATCCTGAGGTGGTTCAGGAGAAATTATTTCACACAAAATAACCAATAGATTCCACTGTATAATTTCCATTACCAGACTGATCCTCTTGAAAACTGCCACAATTCTTACCTATATTTCATTCATATTAGTTCTTGATTCCAGATTTGTGTAATGCGGGCATATAATTGTAGTGTTTATTCCATTTCAATCTGATTAAAAGTATATGCTGAATTTAATCATCTCCTACTGCTTTGTTTTTCTTTACTTGCATGATGACTTTCATCACCTTATGAAGTGCTTATGAAAAGTTCCAAGCTCAACTCTAATTAGATATTGTGGGATGGAAATTAATATACTGTCTGTCTATTGACAGTGGATTCCTGATTGAATAATAGATCTTCAAATTGTTCCTTCCACCTGACATTGAAGCCTTCCTTTTCTTTGATCATATACTGTACCCCCCATCCTGAGATATCAAAGAGAATAACACTCAGTTCTTTAGACCTTAATCTTGTGTCAGGACACAGATATCATTTATGTCTGCAAGATGTTTCCATATCATATCATGATCATATCATGCCCAGCAGCTCTCCTTCAAGTCACAAGTTCTCCTTTGAACCCCCCCCCCCCCACTTTGCTTGTTGGTGGGTCAGCTTCTTCTGCCTGTTTGAGCGCCTCTTTCCTACACAAAAAAAACGTTTATTTGTGAATAAAAGATAACCAACCGGACATCTTTGTCATACCAGTCATGCTGTTTCATGGTAGAAAATCCAAAGCGTTTCTTTGTACTCATTATGGTTGATAGCCATAAATGGGTGAATGAGAGTGTTATCTGTCCATCAGTTATGAGATCCTATCTTTGATCTTTGTGAAATTTTTGTGATTCCAGGTTAAGACTAATGACTCAGTCAATTAGGTGATAGTGTTGTCAACATGTGATTTTGAGTTTGTGATGAAAGAGAGTGTACTGTATATGATGGCAGAGCCATTCTCAGTGTGTTACGCCACGCCCCTGAAGGACTCATCATTCCACCTCGCATTCTAGCACGGTTCCTAATTAGCCAATTTACCTCAGCCTATTTAAGGCTGCTTTACACACTTCTCTCTGCTCAGTATTAGGTGTTTCCTGGCTAGAGCTACTCTTCCTATTGCCTTTCTAGTTGTTTATTGGCTTCCTGACCTGGTTTGTTCCCCGACTACATCTCCTGGTTTCGGTTTTGGCATTATACTGATTGTACTGGTTTTGACTCTCGGCTTCCGGCTCCGCTTCTGGTTTTGTACTTTTGCCTGGCTTGATTACCCATGGCTTTTAAATCTTGGATTGCTCACTCGACTACACCTCTGGATATCGTTCTGGTTTCTGCATAGGGTCCTGACTACTACTTCGTAACACAGTGCATTTGTTAAGGAGAAAAGTTGACATTTCCAACTCCCTCCTTGCTAATGGATTTATTCCAGAGGGGCATTCCTTACAACTCTGGAGTTGTTTCCAGGTAGAATAGATCTATTCTCCTTTGGGAATCCACAAAGCATTTGGTCGAGCTTGGCATATAAATCTTGCTTTTGTGGTCTGAATGTAGATTAGGGACATTACACAGTGAAAAGCATACGTAAGAGTTCAGTGAACTTAAATTTGTCATTTACTATGAAATTAAATTTGTACTTCAAGTAAATATGAGTCACAAGTGTTTCAGTTTTTTTTTATTTCTGGATAGTTTTGTGCATATATATTAAACCAAATTAGATCAAAAATATTTTTATGTCAAATCCCCCTACCAATCTCAAATGTGTGTAAGAGTTGGGACAAATTAACTTAAAGTAAATTAAACTAGTGTAAAGGTTGTATTTTGTCACATACCCTTTACATGCACTGACTGCTTTATGGCTGTGAACCATCATCATCACCATTAGACTCTTGATATATTTATTTGAAAAGCTTTGCCAGCTCCTTAACTGCACCTATATTCAGCTGTTGTTTGTTTGAGTGTTTCCGAAGTTAGGAGACTGACTTAACCAGTTTAAAAGTTTCCACATTGTCTTTCTGATGAACCCCTTGGTTAAATGTGCAGCATATTTTGGGTCATTGTATTGCTGCTGGGAGAATCCCCATTGAGGATAAGTATTTGAGACATTTTTGATGCAGGCAGACAAGACGTTTTTGTATACTTCAGAATTCACTATGCTGTCATTATCAGTTACTGTAAGTCTTCAGTAAAGACCAGTGAGCCAGTTCCGGAAGCAACCATGCGTGCCTAGGTCATGACACTACCTCCACCAATGGTGGTATGCTTAGCATTTGCCGTTCCTCTTGTTTTCAACACCTTTGTTTTCTGTCACTTAGATAAACATGTATCGTCATCTTGTTTTGTCTGTCCATTAAACTTTTTCCACATCTGTTGTGGTTCATCTTTGTACTTCTTTACAAATTCTAACCTGGCTTTTTTGTTTGTAGTGCTGATAAGAGATTTGCATCTTGCAGTGTAGCCTTTGTAATTCTCCTGTCGAGGTCATCTGCACATCTTCTTTTAAGAATTTAAGACAAATGATATTAAAAGATTGTTGTACCTCATGTCTACTTGTTGTATGTTTTACACAAGAACAGCATGTCTCCCCAACTAAACAGAACTGAAAAGTGAATTGGCTTTGATTAATACTGCACCTCCAAAAATTAACCCACAAAGTTCTAATTCTTACCAATAACGACTTTTCCTGCTTTCTGATATATTCCCATCACAGTCTCTGAACCTGTTCCTGACTCCTGGTTTCACAGTGCTCATTCTCTCCGGAATACACTCTGCAGCTGTACTGATGAACATTGTTGTTTCAGAGAGGGTCTCCTAATAAACTCCTGTGTGAATATAGCACTGCCAGGAAATCTGCGTCCATCTGGATTCCTCTTTTATGTGTCCCAAATTCAACAGGTTAGCTTCAGCCAGAACCAGTGGCTGAAGTTTAAAGAGCTGTTACCTCTATGCCAGAGAAGCCCTGGCCTCATTTTCCTTTAATGCTGCGTTAAACCATTAAGGTCTACCTGTTATATCACACTCTGATCCTAAGGGTGAGCACTGAGCCTTTTCAGATGTCCACTTCTGTGTCAGCTCTTGAACAACTTAACCTAACCAAAGGAATGGTGTCACTACAAGACTAGACCCCTTTACCTAGTTATTAAAAAAACGTAATGAAACTCAGCTTAATTAGATTCCTAACTTCCAATTTCAGCAAATTCTAGCGCTGTACTTTTTCTCTAGAGTAGCCCTACGCTGCCCTCTACTGGCTCTGACTGACATCGATATCTCCCAGAATAAATAGACTGTAAACTGAAATCCTATTTAAAAATAGCCGTAATAGGAAATTGAAATAGTTATCATGGAATGTATTTGTGTTCAGGAGTAGAAGAGGGTCTTATGATTGGGAAAAATTAACAGTGTTCCTGATTTAAAGTAATAATAATAATAATAATAATAATAATAATAATAATAATAATAATATGCATGCAAGGGCTGCACCACTCTGATGTTCAATAATGATGTGTTAACAATGCACAAAAATATGTTGTGGATTATATGAAATATGATCTTACCACTGTAAGAAAACCGGCTCAGGGACGCCAAATATGTAATCATAGTGGCAAAATGAAATGTAGTGGCTCTCTGAAGGCACCAGTTCTGTAGGGTTTGGGCATTTACTGAGACAATTATTAATTGTAGCAGTAAATCACAAAGTTGATTCTTTTGATGGCTTTAGAATCCAACCATGCGACATAACTCAAACAATGCGCACCCACAGGTACTAATACACGAGGATACATTTATTAATACATAGAATATGCATGTAAAACTAACAGATCTTATCGAGAGGGTTATCAGTCAGTATATCATTCATTTAGACCGTTTCATAAATGAACTTGGTTATAACTTCTACATTAGATACTCAAAACAAGTACATAACTCTTAGGAATTAAATTGATATCAACTAGTTGGGATAACAATTGAATTCTCGAGCTGTAATGCATTGAAGTTGAATACTCATCCAATCTCTGGGGATTCAGATCTCCTGCGGGCACAAAGAAACAGTTGCAGGCTGTTGCTGTCCAATCCGCACTCTCTGGCTCCGTGCCAGGCTGTGCTGTGCGGCTTGCGACAGTGCGCTGCTGATGCTCACTGTTGGCTTTAACTAGCAAAGTTTGTGCACAGGAGAAAAGATGACTGTGGGTCCCAGCAAGTCAGGAAGAGGACCGGTTCATTCCTGATGAAGAGCTAGTTCTGAATAGTGATTCAGCTGTCCACAGTTCCGACCTGTTTACGAGGCCTGCTGCTGGTGCTAACCTCGGGTGGATCCTCTAGTTACTCTCTGGCAACCTCCGCTCTAGACTCTTAGAACAAAGGAAAGTTCTGGCACTTGGACACACTGGCCGTTCCGTGGTTGCCTGGGCTGAGTCTCGGGATGGTCAGGAGGCGCGCTGCGAGAATGTCCTGCCCTTGGGAGCCTTCTGCTCCGGGGCCGTCCTGCCCTGGAATTCTCCTTTGAATTCCCTTTAGAATAGTCCACAGAATTCTCCTGAATCCTCACTGAATCTCACTGAATCTTACAGGCTCTCTGTGTTGCCTGTTTTTACCTGGAGGAACTTCAGCTCATTCATTGGCTGAAAGTTCCATGGGCATCTATTTAGACCGTTAATAAAACTGGCAATTCAGTATTCAAAAGAAAGCTTTTCAGTGCACACACCTGTTATCAGCTTATGGTCATAGATTCGCCCTTGTGCAGCAAGGGGTAAATGACTTTTTGTTGCACATTGGACAGTGCCATGTGGACAACATGCAAACTCCATATAGAGGGTATTGACCTTACTAGACAAAAAGTGTGAGGCAGCAGGGTGAATCAACAAGACACCATGCTTGTTAATATAATTCTAGTTTAGGAAAAACACATTGTCCAAAGAAGAGGTTTTTGCTTTAACTTTCATTATTTTATTACTCTATTATTGTTTTGACTAACCCTCTTCATTCACCCTGAAAATGACCATTACCTCTATTACCCACACACTGTTCTTCCCTTTTTCTTTGTTTCTCTGTTGCACAGAGCAGCTTGCACTGTCTCATAGACTGACTTGTAACTGCTGTGTACCCCCGAGACACACCTGCCCCCCGGCTCCATCACTACCATCACTGCTCTTCACCTGAAAGAACAGGGCTCTAAAGGTAATGTTTAGCTTAGGACACCAAGGGTCATATGATTCCTTCTTTGATATAGTACCACTACAAAATCTCTGAGTCTTTGCTTTCAAATTGTTGCTCACAAGCTTTTTAGAGGTCTTTATCAATTATTTTAAATGGATCATGTACTGTAAATGTTCAAATGCAATCAAAATTCCAGAAGACTAGCTTTCTAACTTTTACCTTTTAGCTACCTAAAAAGCTGGCTTTTTCCACTTTTGAACAATCATCAGAACTGTGCTGGAGTTTATTGTGAAGATTGTACCATAATTGCTTACTGTGGCATTACTGTGGTTTTCTCAGAAGGTTTGTTTCTGCCTTTGGTGGTATCACTGTCTTTGATGGTCACTACTGTTATTGGTGGTATCTGTTCAAAGGTTGGGCTTTTTGTGACTGCTGCTGAAGAAAAGTTAAGAAATACCAGTAAGAGACTTCTAAAAAAGGAGTAGATAAAATTAGTATTTCTTTAAAGTTACTTGTTAACATAAGGGGCTTTATCTAAAAACAGTGCAATTATTTCTGTTCCTGGTCCTTGTTGCACAGTGAATGATATGGAAAACTCTCCTGTTTCAAGACCCACATGTTCCATGATGTCATCTCTCAGACAGCACATGGCTCTGTAGATCAGGCAGGACAGACAGTGAGAGATCAGCCCCTCTCATTTATCACGCTCATTTATCATGTTCAGCAGTCAGACAAGACCAGGAAATCCTGCTTAACAAGAGCTCTTTCCTCTAACACAAGTTAAAAACATTCCAAGATATAGAGAAATGCGTCTCTATGGAGTGAAGAACGAATGCAGTTATGTATCAGGGTAGCCTGATCTACAAGTTTCTCATTGTCTTCTCTAGAGACATAAAGGAATTGTCTTACTTACCATTGTACACAGCGAGGTACAGGGGAATACCATAATCAACACCCGTTCTCTCTATAGCACACCAGTACCAGTCTTCATCCTTCTTTTCCAGACTGTTCAGAGTCATAGTGAACACTCTGTGGAATGGATCGTCTCTGACTGACACTTTCACAGTCTTACAGGTGCTCCGTTCCCTTCCTTTGCACCAGTATTTTGTACTGGTGTCATAGTATGAATCATAGCGACACTGGACAGTAACTGATCCTCCCTCTTGGCCCCTCAATGAGTTACTGAAAACTGATAGGACAGAAGAACCTGCAAGATAATTACAATCAGATCATTAAATTCAAGTTCTAAATGTTGAATAATGTACTTATGTTTATGTATTTTTGGTTAAATGCATTTAATAATCTAGAAGTAGGTATTCGGGTTCTGTACTCATAATAGAAATCTTGATTGCTCAAATCGCAGCTGGGACTCTGCTGTTGTACCCTTCAGAGATCATTCTGTATAAATGGATAAAACTGTATGTCACTTTAGGTGAAAGTATCAAGCTAATTAATAATAATGTGGCACAAAAGATCATCATGTGTTATATGATCCAGTAAAATCCTAATAAAAACAACCAACAAAATCAATTTACAGACTATGTAAATTGACTCATCAAACAGACTTCTCAAACCACAACAACGTATTTCTGCAAATGAAAGCACAAGACATTGCAGTTGGGCTTGTTTAATAGCCTCATGTATGAACGTGAACCCAAAGCATCTACACCTGGGTTTCCATGCCAAAGCCTGTATACAGTAAACTAATTATACATTGTTTATGCAGTCAGGAAACAAACCCATTTCCTGCCTTTGGAATTTTTGTGGAATAAAGTCAGTGGACTTTCTTTGGCACAGGACTAGTCAAAGATCAAATATCGTTAAATTATCTGCTCTCTGAAAGCGCATAATATCTAATTTGAAACTGATGTGTACATTTAGCTACATACAGTATATAGGAAGATAAACATCTTACAAACACGTAGAGGCAATTCTCATCATGCTTATGTGTTTTCTGGTAGTACGATGATCTGAGGATCTCAGTGAGGATTTCAATATGTTTTGAAAGCTCCTACTGTAAGTAATCTGTTTCAAAAATCACTTTTTCCCAGTTTGTTCCAGACACCCACTTTATGTAAAAAGTGGAAAAGTGCCTCCTTGACTCCATCCTAGATACATACGTCATAAATAGTCCTAATACTGTATTTAGCTGAAGAAAGATGTGAAGACGGGGGTTTGAATTTAATCCTTTCTGT